TGGCTTTTAAAAAACCCAGCATATCTATGTGGCTACACTCTGCTTTGGTTTCCTTTGAAATCAAGAATACTAATACGACATGCTCACTCTCGCCCAGAGTTCCCCTTACTGCCGCCAAGTCATTTCTATTGGTTAGAATGAAGTTAAGGATAGCTTGCCCTCTAGTTCCTTTCTCCACTTTTTGAAGGAGAAAATTAAAAGCAACACAATGCAGGAATTTCTTGGAAGAGCCATACTTGACAGAAGTTGCCTCCCAACAGATATCATGATAATTGAAATCTCCCTTCACTACTACATGTCTCTTTTAAATCCTTGCAATTTCTTTTTCAAAAGTTTCATCTGCATCCTCACCTCGATTGGGTGGTCAGCAGTAGACTCCAACTACCATGTTCCTCTTGTTTTTCGCCCCAACTACATTGATCCATATGCTCTTAATGGGACAGTCAGTCTCCTCCTCCTGTATTTCTGTGCATGAATATATTTTTTTGACATACAGTGGTGCCCTGCTTGATGATTACCTCGTTAAATGAGGAAATTGCATAACGATAAAGTTTTGCGATCACAAAATGATGTTTTAATAGAGAAAAATCACTTCATGATGATCGGTTCCCTGCTTCGGGAACCAATTTTTTGCTTAACGACGATCAAAACAGCTGATCGTCGGGCTTTCAAAATGGCTCCCCACTGTGTAAAATGGCTCCCCACTGTGTTTTAGGACCGATTCCTCGCTTTACAGGCACCGGAAAATGGCCACCCTATGGAGGATCTTCGCTGGACTCTGAGGTATTTTGCCCATTGGAACGCATTGACCTGGTTTTCAATGCATTTCAATGGGATTTTTACTTTCGCTTGATGACGATTTCATTCTACAGCGATTTTGCTGGAACGGATTATCCTCGTCAAGTGAGGCACCACTGTATACTGAACTCCACCTCCCTTTCTATACTCTCTGTTCTTTTTAAAGAATTTATATCCTTCAGTTGCTGTATTCCAATCATGGGAGTCATCCCACCAAGTTTCAATTATTCATATCGAGTCATATTTACCCTCCTGAGCCAAGATTTCCAACCATCTTTACCTCTGTGCTTGTTTCTCCCTCCCCCTTCCAATTCAGTTTAATGCCCTTGTGATGAAGTTGTTCATGCTGTGGCCAAACACATTATTCCCAGTCCTTGTGAGGTGCAAGACATCTCTTGCTAGCAATCCATCTTCCAGAAAACTTAGCCAGTCATCCCAAAAACCAAATTCCTCACTTTGACACCACCTTTGTAGCCAGCCATTCCGAAAATATTTTCCTTTCATTTTCTATTCTTCTTCCAAGTAACGGTAAGTTGGATGAGAAAATTATCTGGTCCTCAAAGTCCTTAAGACTCCTTCCTAGGGCTTCATAGTCTGATGTCATATCTTTGAAGTTGCTCTTGGTTATGTTGTTTGTTCCCCGATGGATGGGAAGGAACAGATATGTATCTGTGGGTTTTTTGAGTGATGGCAATCCTTCTGTCGCATCCCTAATCTGTGCTTCAGGGAGACAGTCTACCTGGCAGGTCCATGGATCTTCGCAGGATACTTCACTTTCAGTTCCACACAGTGGGGAGTCTCCTATTACAACTACTCTTCTCTTCCTCTTTTTCTAGGCTGTGTGTTCAGTGCCTCTGCTTGGCTGAGTTTCAATCCCTCTCATATACTCTTGTGAGATCTCCTCTTTGACTTTGTTTGCTGTCTGACAGAGTCCTCATCAAAAGCCTGAAGGCAATTTCACAGTTCCTCCAAAGAAAATGGTTTTCTTCTTTTGTTCCTAGCTGTGACTCTTTTCCATGGTGCTTCCTCCATTATGTTTTCTCTCTCCACAGTATTTCCCTCCTCTACCTTCCCTCATTGTTCTTCCACTTTCAGGGCCTCCATTGACTGCTGCTGCTGCTGCTCAAGAGTTCTGTCAATGTATACTTAATCTTCCCTTATGGTCTTAAGTGTGGCTAATTGCTGCTCCAGTTCTCTTTTTTTCTTCTGACCGTGCCATCAGTTTGCACTTGCTGCATGTGTTATGCCCTCTTACACTCAGGTACAAAGACAAACATCCCTCCAAAATCCCTGTTAGCTTTTTGCTTAAATTTGTTTGTCTGTGAATGCCCTTTCCTTCATTTTCTTACCTTGAATGTAGCTGGGAAAACCAACTACCGTATTTTTCGCACCATAAGACGCACTTTTCCCCCACAAAACAGGGGGGTGGAAAGTCTGTGCGTCTTATGGAGCGAAGAAAACAGATTATATTTTCCTGTTTTCTTCTCCTAAAAATTGGTGCGTCTTATGGAAAGGTGCATCTTATGGAGCGAAAAATACGGTAATTTATAACTACATCCTAAAGCCCAAAAATCTTGCTAGGGGCCTCCCCATTAGCCTCCCACTGTTGAACTCTCCCAGCTAGCCCTGCCTGCTAGGTCCCACTCCCCCCTTTTGTATATCTTGTCTTGCCTACCCCTTCTCCTTACTCCAGGGGTGGGCAATTAATTTCTATAGGGGGGGCACATGAAAAATCTGAACTTTATTCGGGGGCCAAACCAACTTTATTTACAAATAAAATGAAACAGTGATGTTATGATAGTTTTTATTTTAAACTTTTTAAAAATAGTATCTTCACAAATACTAAAGAGGTTTTTTGCAGTATGTTAAAGATAAGCAACTGATCAACTTTAGACAAAAAGCTATAAATGGTTTTGATGTTCAAAACTGTCCGCGGGCCAGACAGGGGCGGCTCGCGAGCCGTATGTGGCCCTCGGGCCGCACTTTGCCCAGGTCTGCCTTACTCCATGGCTTTGGCCACACTGTTGTCACGATGTATCTGCCTGCCTGCCTTTAGTCTCAATCACTACAAGAATAGTCAGGTGAGGTAAGAAAGAAAGAGGGTAGAAGAAGGGTCAGTGTTGGGAATACAGCAAGGGCAAAGAGTGAGGGAGAAAAGAAGAGTCGGTTAATAATCTTAATCTTAGAACTGAGGCACAGTAAGATATTGAACTCCCAACCTTTGGCCGTTCAGCCAGAATACCTAAATCACTAAGTTATCCAGTTGCTCATGGGGCTTTGCTCTCTTCTTGTGTGTGTGTATGCGAGCTGCTTTAACCAAACGTGTACCCCCATACCCCTTTCACAGTTCTCTGATGATGAGCAAGTATGACAGCACAGATCTCTTTCTCTCTGTATACTCTTTGGGACTTTTTCATTATGTCTTATTAAAAATGATCTGCTGGGTGTTTAAAAAGTTTAAACATTCTTTTTGATACTGCTTGCTGTAGAAATGGCAGCTATTAATTCTTTTGGAGTCAAAACAGTTTCCCTGGGGCTATTCTTCTGCTCCATCCAAGAAAATCTGGAGTGTACTAGACAACTTAATACTGTATGAGAAGACCAAAGAACCAGACTTTGAATTCTGTTTAAATGGGTTCATTAGAGTAACAGAGACTGTCTTTTGGAGGCTATTTACTTGAATCCCGTGCTCAGTTAGGGATATGAGGAAACCTCACGGTGTCATGACTAGTCATCTTAGCACAATAAGGTAATACCTTGAAAACTCTCCAAATCCTTTGGAATATGTTATCCCTAGCGCAATACCAAAATGCAGATTTCCCCCCATCATGGTTTCTTCAGTGCTTGGCATAAACTCGTTTTTCTACAGAAAATTAGGGCTTTTCCCCTTCTGTGAGTACACTCATACAAGAAGCACAACATGACAGGATTTTTTTTTTACCACAAAGACAACAATAAACCATCATGTGTTACTATTTTTATCAAAAGGCAAGAGTTATCAACACAATTTGTGTTTAGCTTCCTCATAATTAGGGCCAGGATGTGGCAGATTTTATATTTTACACACCTTTAACTTCAATCTGCAACAGGACCCGTTTTAATTTTTAATATATACTTCTCTTTCTTGCACTGAATAGTTTTTCTCCTCTTATCTTTCTATGCAGTTGACACTTTGAGGGATGATGACAAGCAAAACACCAGAGTGCAGGGAGTGCAGAACTAATTGGTTAAAAGAAACATTTTTACGACTGGGGCTGATTGCTATTTATTTAGTGACAATTACTCGTCTGCTTTTGCTGTGATTGTGAACTGTGTGCATTACAAATAAGTTATTCAATCCTGATTTCTCTTAATCAAAGATGCAAGGGTGTAGAACCTCTTTCAGCCTAAGGTTCACATTCTCCCTCAGGAAGTTTTGGGTAGGGACATTCTAGTGGTGAATAGGACCAGAGGCAAGAACATCGGTGTGTTTTAGCACAAAGCCCTTTATTGCCAATAGCTAAGCCATGGGAAAGATATTTCTTCATTTCAGAAAATGAGGGAAGCTGTAAGAAATCTGAGGCACCAGAGTGTCCCATGATTTTATGGCAAGGGGAACGTGGCCGTCTGGGGAATCTCAAGGTCAATATTAGGACCCCTAAGAGGTCCAGGTAGGACTCCAAGCCTGCAGGTCTTTACATATATGCTTGAACTTTGTAATCTAGGAGACAGTTGGATTTGAACAAAGTGTACCTTCATTCCAGGTTCCTGTCAGCCATGACATTCACTTTGTTTTTTCTTCAGCAAGTTATTCAGTGTATCCCATGTCATGGGGTTGTTGGAAGGATAAAATGTGCATTCACCCTTGAAATCTTTGAAGAAAGGAAGAAATGCATAGATAATAATTTGGAGACCGAACAAGTACACTACTGCCCCACATTTAGGGGATATTGGAAATATCACAATATTTTAAAGGAGCAAATCTTTTCTGACTGTATATATCTACATTATTAACTTGTTTCATGTTGCTAGGATAGGAATCAACATTCTCATGGTATGAGAGTTTCTCTTTGGGATTGCCTTCCCATTCTCTGTAGGTGATTGACTAGGAAAATGCGGGAGACATTTTAAGGGCATGACCCTCTCTCTGCTGGATATTAAACAGAGTTCCTTCTGGCTTTTAAGCCTTAATAATTTGTAGTGTTTGTTTTCTTTATTTTAAGCCTGGAAGGAAATCCGTTACTTCAAATTGAAGTGGAGCCAACCTCTGAGGTAAGTTGCACACAAGGATCTGGTGATTTTCTGTTCTCATGTAGAAAGAAAAGGCAAACAGCAGGGTATGAGCTTTGTTTTACAGCTCTCAGCAGAGGCCAGAGAGCAGCATCTTTTTGACTCATCTGGGTCTCTATAGCTCCTCACAAAGGCAATAATACAGTGGTGCCTCGCAAGGCAATTGCCTCGCAGGACGATTAATCCGCAAGCCGATGGGTTTTTGCGACTGCTGTTGCGCTTCGCAAAACGGTTTTTCCTATGGGTGATTTTCGCTAGACGATGTTTGGGTCCGTCCTTGGCAAGACGGGTTTTTGTTTTGTGTTTGGTTTGTTTTTTTAAGTCCAATGTTTTGCAAGACGGTTTTTCCCCCCCATTGGAAGGCATTAAATAGATTTCAGTACATTCCAATGGGGAACCGCATTTCACAAGACGATGTTTTCTATGGACGATTTTCGCTAGACAATGTTTGGGTCCGTGCTTGGGCAAGACGGTTTTTTGGTTTGGTTTGGTTTGGTTTTTTAAGTCCAATGTTTCGCAAGACGGTTCCCCCCGCTCCATTGGAATGCATTAAATAGATTTCAATACATTGCAATGTGGAACCGTGTTTCGCAAAACAATGTTTTCGCAAGACAGCGATTTTTGCAGAACGAATTAACATTGTCTTGCGAGGCACCACTGTACATGCATGGGTGCCACCAAACCCGTGGTGCTTTCTTTGTCCGGACATAGTCATCTTCACCAGTAGGGGATGTTATGGGCTGTGCGATTGTGCAGTATAAGTGTATATAATAAAAAGCATATAAGTTTTTCAATCTCTGAACACCACAACCTCTTTTTAGCATAGTGAACAGATATGATTGCCTTTGTGAGGAGCTGTAGAGGCCCAGATAAGACAAAAAGATGTATATAAAGTTTGTCTCATAAAGTATTGTCTCATAACAGTGGACCTGAATTTTGCAACAAGACTAATGTGGAATTCATTGTTATGTCATGAAAGACCACTATAACATGGGAAGTTTGGATAACTTCCATTTTACTTAGGATTAATACACATGTGCTGAACACAGTTTTTGAAAGAATAACACATATTTACTATTGACCACTATCTTTTTCCACATGTACACAAAGCCTCACTCATCAACATGTGATATCCATCTTAATCAGGATTATCACATGCAGGGACCAGGATGTGGGGTAGATTTTTCCATCTCTGTGCCTCTTCTCAGATGATAATGTCTCACTTGGCTGCTGTTCTCCCATAAGGTGACATTTTCAATGAAGAACAGGTTTGGAAAAATGACAGCCATGAGTAGGGAGATGTTTAGCCTCTAGACTTCTATTTAAAAGGCTTACCTTGATGACACCCCACTTTTGATCATGCTGGGTTGATACTGCATGTTGACTGCATGTCTCAGGAGGCTGCTCACAGAAAAAAAGAATAGATTATATGGGCAAGGATATTCTAGAGATGTCCTGTAAAATGAACCCATCTGCCGTCTTTTCTCCCAGAATGAACAAGGAAATGATGAAGAGTCAGAAGATGATTTTGAGGAGATGAACCTTTCACTTCTCTCTGCCCGCAACTTTCCACGTAAGGCCAGCCAAACCAGCATCTTCCTGCAGGAATGGGATATCCCCTTTGAGCAGCTGGAGATTGGTGAACTCATTGGCAAGGGCCGTTTCGGACAGGTGTTTCATGGCCGCTGGCATGGTGAGGTAGCCATCCGCCTCATTGATATTGAGCGGGACAATGAAGACCAGCTGAAAGCCTTCAAGAGAGAAGTGATGGCCTACAGGCAGACTCGGCATGAGAATGTGGTGCTGTTCATGGGTGCGTGCATGAGCCCTCCTCACCTTGCGATCATCACCAGGTAAAATACATGCATGGGTACCACCAAACCCTTGGTGCTTTCTTTATCTGGACATAGTCAACTTCACCAGCAGGGAATAGTATGGACTGTGCAACTGTGCAGTATATGTGTATGGCAAGCTTCCCCCCAGATCAACCTGCTCCAGATCTTTCCAATGTTAGAGTTTGCATTGTCTTTGTCTTCTCTTTCCAGTGCATCTTCTCCTTGCTCTGTAGCTTGAATAGTTGGTGTTTAAATTAAATCTAAATTAGCATTTATTTGCTTTCTATTTTTTGTGAATAGAAACAGTTAAATTGTTAATTCTTGCCTATCAAAAGCAAAGTGTGCTGCTTATATACCGCCCCATAGTGCTTCAAGCACTCTCTGGGCGGGTTACAAGTTAATAATGCAGGCTACATATTGCCCCCCCCCCCGCAAGCTGGGTAGTCATTTTACCAACCTCGGAAGGATAGAAGGCTGAGTTAACCTTGAGACGGCTACCTGGGATTGAACCCCAGGTCGTGAGCACGAGGCTCTATCACTAATGGAATTGATATTTTAAGATCTGGAATACATATCCTGAGCCAGAAGAAGTGGCTTCTCTATGCTTTTTATTTCATAATCATGTACAGTGGTGCCTCGCTTAGCGACGTTAATCCGTTCTGGAAAAAATGTCGCTAAGCGATTTTTAAAAGCCGATAGAAACACATTAAAACTTGTTTAATGCGTTCCTGTGGGCTTTAAAACTAACCTTATGCGAAGATCCTCCATTGCGGTGGCCATTTTCGGTGCCTCTAAAGCGAGGCAACACAGCGGGCGGCCATTTTGTTTTCCGGCGGCCATTTTGAAACAGCTGATCAGCTGGCCAAAAATGGGGGCTTTGCAGTGATCGCTTCCTGCGATCATCACAAAGCGATTTTTCCCCATAGGGGCCATTGCTAAGTGATTGCTTTGGCGATGGCCAAAACCCCATCGCTAAGCGATTTCATCACTCAACGGAACGATCGCTGAGCAAGGCACCACTGTACTTCTTCAGTATAGCAGGGAGGATTTCCACTTCAGGCCCAAAAGGGTCAAGAGAAAGAGTGGTGCAGCGTTGCCTCTAATAGAGGCTGCCAAGAGCCTCAGGAGGAAACTCAGAAGGCAGGACAAAGTACAGGCAAAGACGAAGGACTGTGGACAACTCCAAGTGGTTCCAAGAATACATTCAAGGTTATTAGAAGCACCCAAGCACAGGAAAGCTTGACGGTGGTCCAGCAAAATTCAAGCTCCTCCAATGATTGAAACAGTCAGAGGACAGGTCATGGGTTCTCGTCTTTGATGTTTAAAAAGATGTTCTGTATTCTTGAGGTGCTGCATTTGGAAAAGCTAAGATACCTCCCGCTTACCTAATGGATTTAGAAATGAAGCTTTCAGTGTCAGAGGAGAACAAAACAAGCTTCGGCTGAAGAGGTGGAAGCAGGCTAGTCATTGAGGTTTTCTCCATCTCAGAGGCCTCTGGTAAACCCTTCTCCTCTGAGGTTTGTTTTGCTAATATCCTTAATGCAGAAGTAATGGTCTCATGGGAAAGCCAGATTATCTGTGTATTTCACAGACATTGTAAACACCAGTTGCCTTGATGAGAAGCAGCAGTGGCTTCTCCATGCTTTTCCAAAGGTGATGTAGTAGGAAATCGGAGAGGGGGATGCGAGAGCAAAGACTTTAACAGAATGGTGGCTAGATTTTTCCTTGGGGAATAACAGTGTAGACGCTTGGCATTAATCTTAATTAGTTTTCAGCAAGAACAGCTGCGTTTCCAAGCCTTGCTCAGCACTCTGAGTGCAGTAGGAGAGATGGCAGGAAACTGCAGGCAAAGACGACCTTGCCTCAAGCTGTACAGCCCTTCTCCATAGTAGCTCGTTGCACATGGTTGCACTTTTGCTGCATTGGCAGATGGACGGGACTTTCTCTGCCCCAGTGTTTTTTTGCTTCACATCCTTCTAGAGCTTAACATTGTCAGGTAGCTAAAGAAAAGATAAGAGAGATGTAAGAAAAGGACAGGCAAGAGAAAGAAGAAGTGAGCAGAAGAGCTAAAAGGGGCCAAGACATGGCAAGGATTGGCAAGGATTTGGTGATTGTGTGAGAGAGTAGGGTTTGGAAGAACTCCTTTTTTTAAACTCTATGTTCAAGCATACCTCAGTTGGCATGACTCCTGGCCATGTTGACAGGGGGACTCAAGGAGTGAATCTACAGTGTACACTTACATAGTAATTGATGCCACTAACTTTCATGCTTCTATTGTATAGAATCAATGGGTTTGCACTTTTGTCCTTAGAATAATTTGCTAGACAATTCTTTTGCACTATACTGAACCGCAGCAGAGAGTTTTAAGGCCTTCGCCAAACCACAAATCCAAAGGTATGATGAAATAAACTGGTATCAAACTGTTATCACTCTGTAGTGAAGATACACTCTGGTAATACAGAAAAGAACTGTTCCAACTGCTGCTGCTGTTTAAACAAATTATGACCCAATGTCTGTTTGCCTGTCCTGCAAATAGCATAACTGGAGTTTGCTGCTAGAGGCAAAAGAAACTGGACTCACAACTGGGAACTGACATGCCCGGCATGGAGGGAGCAGACAGTTCTCATGGCTATGGCAGCAGCTTTCCCCACAATTTTTGGACTTTCTGATTCTTCATACATCCTCTGCTCTTGTGCTACTAAGCATTACGGGAAGGAGTTTTGGCAAACTCTTACGGTTGCACACTTCCACGGTATTTAAACATAAGTACACTTAATATGAGTACCCTTAATATGAATTGATGCTTTTGAATTGTGGAGCTGGAGGAGGCTCTTGAGAGTCCCCTGGACTGCAAGGAGAACAAACCTATTCATTCTGAAGGAAATCAACCCTGAGTGCTCACTGGAAGGACAGATCCTGAAGCTGGGGCTCCAATACTTTGACCGTCTCATGAGAAGAGAAGACTCCCTGGAAACGACCCTGATGTTGGGAAAGTGTGAAGGCAAGAGGAGAAGGGGACGACAGAGGATGAGATGGTTGGACAGTGTCATCGAAGCTACCAACATGACTTTGACCCAACTCTGAGAGGCAGAGGAAGACAGGAGGGCCTGGCATGCTCTAGTCCATGGGGTCACAAAGAGTCGGACAGGACTAAATGACTAAATGAAATGAAATAAAACTCATAAATATAATGTTTAACACTGGGCATGGATGTAGAGAAGTCAGGGGTGTTCTTCTAGAGTTGTGTCCTAGCCTGGGAATGTCTTTACATCTGCTTCAGTTCATGTAAACAGTATTCCATCTTTGTCCCCATCATTATGTTGATTAAACAATCATAAAAGGAAACATAGTATTTAAACACAGAGCTCTTTGATGAAATATTAAACACCAGCATTTCCCCTGGGCTTGTTAAACTGGCCTGCTGGTGATAGGGGAGGCAATCTGTATCCTGTTTGCCAGCTTCCCATCCTATTCATGTCACTAATGATGTTCCCCTTTGGAGAAAGCTGTTAGCCTCTAGCAGCTGGTCTCGGGAAAGCCAGACTTAATGAGGAGTTGTTAGTCTCTTGTATGTCTTACTGTCGCCTATTTAATTATGGCGATGCCAAAGAAATACCAAGAGACGCAAATCTGTTTCTTCTAGGAAGCGTCTTAAAAAGACTGCTGAAGATGAAACGTCTCTTTCCTCTGTGTTATTTTTCACCCTCTAGTTGCAAGGAAAACATGTTTTAATGAATAGAAATCATTTTATTAGATATGCCACACATTAGCATTTGCTTGCAGAGAGAACTTTTGTGGAATCAGTTCTAGGAAAACAAAAACACACAAAATATTGGGAAAAAACTCTCGGCCATAATGTTCTGAAATGGATTCTGTTGCAATTATTGTTGGTACACGTTAGAGTTGACCTTTGTCTGTCCTGGAATAATTAGGCATATGTTTCTGCACAGTATGGTTCACTATACAGAAATCTGTCTTTGACCCTTAAAGCTCGAAGTAGCTCAGCAGCCTTCCAGCTTTTCTGTTCCCATTTTCTATGGCAGCCAGAGAATCTTGAAGAATGCTTGCTGAGTGTCCTGAACAGGAAAGGTTGCAGTGTTTGGGGTAGAACAAATGCTTTATATGCAGGAGGTCCCAGATTTTGGGAATCTCTGGAAGCCCTTACATGTTCATGTGGATTGGAAAAACCTTTGCTTGAAAACCTTGAAGGGCCACTATCACTCAAAGTAAAGAACACTGAGCTAAATGGCCTAGTGATTATACTCAGCAGAGGAAAGGCTACAGCTCAATGAGAGAGCATATGCTTTATGTTTAAAAGGTCTGTGTTTGATCCACAGCAAATCTAGGTGGAGCCGAGAAGGACACCTATTTAAAACCTCAGACCCCGACAGTCAATTTATATTGTATTGAACTTAAACGGATCAAGATTCTGAAAGGCAGCTTTCTGTATTCTCACATCTCCTTTCTTCTTACTTTCCTAAACAAAAGGATTCTTGTTAAGTTGTCCTGGAGATTCTTAGAAAAAAGTGCGAGCACAAAACAAGACAGGTGGATCAGGTGCAGGTGTGTCAAAATGTATGGCACTTGCCTTAGGAACCAGGAGTGTGGGCAAAACTATTGTGTTGGTTTCATACTCTTTGAACCCCTGGATTGTATATAGAATTCTTTGCTGCGGTTCAGGGATTTCAGTAGAGTTTTCTAGCTCAGAATTCCAAGTGCCTCTCTAAACTACCAATCCATGATTTCTTCAGGACGGAGGCATGGCAGCTAAAGTGCTTTCAGACTGATAGCTTTTCATTGCTGATAGACTCTACATTTCCCCCTTTTACAAGATAAAGGGGAAGGGGAAGGGGAAAAAAGCATAGTTAATCACTCCGCTGCTTATCTTAACCAGGTGGGGATCCCACAGCAGATTTGTAAAAGGCATAGCCGGCACCAGTGAAGCCTAAACACTACTTTCTGAATTACAGCTAGTGTAACCATGCTGACAGGTACCTCTGGAAACTGCAGTCTTAAAA